GCGCAAGGTATTCCTCGCCTCCAGCATGGCCTCTTTTTCCGTCTCCTCATCGTCCGGGTAGTGTAGGGGGATGAGGTGTTCCTCGGCGAGCTGCCAGCCGGTTTCGTCCCTGGTTACCTCGTTGGGCGCAAAGAGAAAGCGGAAACCGCAGGCAAACGCGGTCTCCGGGCGAAGGCCCACGTCGTAAAGCTGGCGGCGATGGTAGGGGTTGTCAAAGAGGCGAAAGACACGCCCCCGATTGGACGCCATGAAGAGCACTGCCTTGTCTGCTCCGCTTTTGGGTAAAGTGTTCAGGTCCAGCGTAGAGAAGAAGCGGTTCTTATTGTTGATAAGGTACATGCTCCCGTACTCGCTCATATTTTGGACTGAAGGGTGGGAAGGCGGGTAGTGACGGTCGCCGTTGTACGGGCGATAAAGGTGCTCGGTCAGCACTGGAGGGTCGCCAGCAGGCCTGGTCCAATTGATGAAGGGGGCGTCGAAGGCGGCTTCGAGCGGAGGGATCGGCTGCTCTCCCACCGTGATCTGAAAGGCCCGCCCTGTCAAGTAGGCCCAGAAGAACAAGGACATGACCCCCACCAGCTGGTCCGCCAGTCCCGACTGACTCAGCACCGCAACAAGGTAGCGAGGAGGACGCTCGCCCGCCAGGATCTGTCGATGCAGCTCCATGTATCCTTCTTGCCAGTCCCCGCAGCGAAGGAAGGCCTCGGGTCGCTCACGGTCGTCGACGTGGGTCAAGGAGGGTGGCTGAGGAAGGCTGGCAGCGCCAGGAGGGCGGACGGGCTCGTCTTCATCCCACTCGGCGTCACTTTCCTCGGACATTATGTAGGATGAGGAGGGTGGGGACGGATCTCTTTCAGACGGGAGGGCAGGAGCGAGCTCTCCTTCCGAGGACTGTTTCAATATGACTTGGGAATATTGTGCGGGTCGAAGAAACCTGGACCACTCCAGCTCGGGTCTCAAGTCATTTTTGGAGAGAATCGACATCATCCATAGCCCGCCAAAGGAATACGTTGCGATGATTCCTAAGAGGAGAGCCATTCTTCCCCATCTTCTTCTTGCCCCCTCGCTGAGCACATCGCGGCCGCTGTAAATCATGGCCTACTCTTCCTTTCGGTCAAGCACGTCGACACATATATTAGGAGGTGATGGAGTCAGACATCCTCGTTAGAGCCTCAGTGTAAGCCTATTGTGACCTGAAGAGCATGCGATAGCGTAATTAATGAGCGTGAAAGGAAGGACTTGGGGATAGAGGCGAGTTCGGGGGGGAAGGGGTATCACATCAGAATTCAATATAATCTTCATGTAGATGCCTTTGAATAGCGTACTCTACCCCTTGAAGACTGATTTTTGTTCAAATGCAAACTACTACAGTCATCTCTCAAAAGGGTATGAGCCATCATGGGCCCTGCAGTGAGGCGTGCCATGCAATGGCAAACATCGATCCGGCAATAATTGAGCGTTTTTTGCATCTGCTGTGAGGTTTACCCTTTTAAAAAGGACAGCATGACCGATACATAAATAGAAACAGCACGAATCACTCGCGTATGCGGGGTAAGACGGGCACGCCCCACCCAACCCGAACCTGCGAAACGCAGCGCGTGGTCAGCAGTTACGCAAAATTCAAAAAACCGTTGCTACCTAGAGAGCGTGAAAACATACGACGCTACAAATGCCTCAGCACACGTTTCCGCGTGATGTCCGAATGAAGATTTGGAGGACGGTCTCCCTATTATGTAAAGGCCCTCGGAACATTCTGTTTGTTAGCTTCTTGTTCTCCAACGCCCATGCACCCGAAGCAATAGAGGGGGGTGAAGCGTACCATTCTATTTTACCCCACAACTTACGCTGTAAGTCACATTTTTTTCATCGTCTCTCGCTCTTACTATGGTTCTTCTCCCTACCAATGTATGTAGAGGCAAAATTATTCTAATCCGAGAAAAAAAATATGGATTTATGAGACAACGTTCTTCGAACGCTTTTTATTTTTTTTTAAATCATCAAAGCATTTTTACATGATGTCACTCTGTTGCGCGACCAAATATATGTAGCAGTATCTTGTCGCCATATTGTAGAAAAACATCACAGTTCTCTGCCCTATCGCTTATACATCGAACGTAATCATTTTGTATCCGTGTACGTTTCATGGCACCGCTACTTAGATGCCCTCTCTTCCTGTTGACCAGCTCGCATTCTTGCCGATGATTTCTCAGCCATTTTTCATTTCCGTTAGGTTTCTCCAGACAACACTATCCTGCATACAAAATCGCTCCCACAAGGCCTGATGGCAAAGGGCATCTCAAGTCATACTTGGCCCCCGGAGGAACATACAGAAAGGGACGCTTATTGTCACCAAAGCTCTGCGGGCCGCGTGTTCGGTGCTTGACCTCTATGTTTGGATTGATCAGAGCCTCGAGCAGAGAGGAGGAGGATCGGCAGGCTACCGGGCCGTTTGCAGCCAGTGCATCACCGAGCACGCAGGCGATGGCTCCTGTCACGAAGGGCGCCGCCTGGGATGTCCCCGTCCTATATCCATATGCCTGTTGAACCAAGGAATGGAAACGAGCGGGGGGGAAAAGTGTACAAGAATGTTTGGGCGCAGGTAAGCGAGCTAAAATCGACAATAAGGGCTTGAGAATGGGAGGAGGCACAGGTGAAGGAGGGCACGCAGCATAAATGACAACATGGAATGGAAGCAAAGCCAGGAAAGCTGCGAAATCCCTCTCCATGTCTGGACAGCCTCACCTGATCGTTCTCAATCCCGGCGCTGAAGATGTTGGTCCCTGGGGCATAAATGTCGACAGCCGTTCCTTGGTTCGAGTACGCCTCTCGACTGTCCCCTTTCTCGCGATTGAAGAGGAAGAGCTTCCCCCCCGACGGCGGCTGGGTGGCGCCCACGGTGATGGCGCTCGGCTCCCCCGCGGGAGAGTATTTCTCCACCCACCGGCCCTCGTTCCCTGCCGCCACCACGACCACCACGCCCAGGGCCTGGAGTCGCGCCACGGCTGCATCCATGGCGGCGTCCGCGGGGGCGGAGATGCTCAGACTCGCGACCATGGGCGTGCTGGGGGTGGCGAGCCGGGCGGCAGCGATCATCTCCAGCGCCGCCACCGTGTGGGCGAGGCGACCCACTCCGTTCTGGTCCAGGGCCTTGATGCATCGAATTTCGGCCTCAGGCGCCACCCCTACCGAAGCCCCCGCCGCCACCGCCGCCGTGTGCGTCCCGTGCCCGTGGTCGTCCGCCCCGCCCGTGGCCGCGTAAGGCTCTGGGTCCTGTAGCCCGGAGTCCGGCAGACGGACCGACTCCGTGCGGGCCCGCCCCCCGAATTCCTGGTGACTCGTCCGGCACCCGGTGTCCACAGAGAAGATGATGACGCCCTTGCCCCGGCTATGGCAGGTGCGGGTGTCGCGGTCCAAGTCCAGGCCCAGCTGGTTGATTCGGTCCAGGCCCCAATTGATGTCGTCCGGGGCCAGCCAGGAGACGTTCGCGGGGGACGGGTCGGCACCCGAAGGGCTGCTCCCAGGGGAGGCCGGTGTGCTATCTCCCGTGCGGGCGGTGGGCGCATCCGAGGAGATCGGCGTTGGCGGAGGCACGACCCCGCGGTTCGTGCCCGTGCTGCCGCTACCAGCGGCAGTGGTGTTGGCGCTGGCATTCATAGGGGGTGCCGTCCCTGTGGCGGGCACGATCGTCGGGGCGGGCGTGGCCGTCATCCGTTGCCCGAACTTGTAGAGACTCTTGGCGGCACCGGTGGAAAAGGCGCGAATGGGACCGTTGTCGATGATGTCGACCCGCTTGCCCCGTGCTTCCGCCTCCGCCACTGCCGCCGTGAGTTCCTCATCCGTCACGGCGCGCTGCTGGAAGGGCCCCCGCACTTGCAGGTCGGCCGTGACCCCTCTCACGAAGGGGAGGGCGGCGAGCTTCCCTCTCAGCGACTCCTCGGCATGGAAAGGGGAGGAGTCCATGGGACCGAAACACACCGCGCTCACCATTTGCAGGCTCTCGTAGGACGCCACGTCGGAGCAGTTGGCTGCGCTCAGGCTGGCGGCGGCGACCTCTTGGCAGGTTTTCTTCCCGAGACGGCCCGGGGACGGCGGGCAGGCAGTGTCGTCCAGCGCGAGGAGGAACTGCCGCCCCACGTCTTGGATGGGCTTGAGGCGCATGCGGCCCGTGTCGATGGAGGCTGTGGACAGTTGCTTGCCAGGAAGGATGAAAAAGCGCCCGTTGTCGATGGTGTCGTATTTCTAGCGGGAAAAGGAGGGAGAGGACGAGGGGGAGTGCGCAGGGATTGAGCGTGAGACGGACAAAGAGGAAAAGAGGACGACTGAAGTACAAGAGATCTGTTAGGTCCTTGAACTAGAGAGATGTTAACAAAGGCACCTGGTAAGTGGGCGTATATGCCTCGTGTTTGACCTCCGAAAGGAAGAAAAAGATCAAGACAGGAAAATATTCTATACAAGGGACGGAAAATACGTTTCTCCACAAGGTGGATGTGAATAACGGCACAACATCAATCGCATCATTCGATAAAGGTATGAATTTGCTTTGGAAAGCAAATAAGCATCACACACGACCGCAACTTTCAGTTTTAAGCATTGCTTCAACTTACCTCGTATATGCATACCGTTGGCAGGAGACGACACAAGAGGAGGAGAAACGACAAAATCGACCGTGTCACAGAAATCAATCGACAACGTTCCATGGCGTTTTTTGGTGTAGACATTTGTACAATCGCGACCGTCTTTTACGAAAAAAAGGCTCAGGCACGCCGAATCATCTTTCGCCTCCTTCCTTTGCTTCGGCGTCCGTGCTGTGGTAGCTTTGCAAGAATGTCGCGAACTTGTGATCTAAATGACCTACAGTATGAGTGGCAAATGAAATATAAGAATACATATTATTTCCGTGGCAACTTCCTTTGCCTCGGCAAAAAAAATCCAAAAAAGACCAGGTTCACGCAGTGTACGTGTGTGTGTCCAGCGCGCGAAAGCCAGCATGGGCCAATTTCCGTTGAGGAAGGCGGCATGTGGCTGACAGCGCCAAAGTCCACCGTGATAACCTGTTTCTGATGCGGCGCAATGAATAAACCGCGCTAGCACGCAATTTTGAGAACGCAAGTACAGCGAGAGGCTCCGTACGTCAGGGGGTAATCCTTTCCACGCAGGCAAAGTGGTTGTGCGCAAGCCGCCACAGCGACCTGCCTCCGTCTCCTTCCTCTCCAATTGCGGCGTTTTCGGGTCTGAATTCCATTACTTGGACCTTGAATTGTACATTTCTACTTTCTGCTCAATAAATTATACTCTAAAGCCCTTCATGACGAGATAAATTACCAGTGAGCGGAGAATGCCCCCAGGATATCCACCAGATGTGCGAACCTGGCGTCGAAACGGGAAAAATTGCGCGAACGCGTCTCGGTCCTATGGGCTGTGTGTCAGCCTCGGGAGGACGAAAATAAGCCTAGAAAAGAACCAGGGCTCATTCGCCAAGGTTCCGGGATGCAACCCTTTCGAAACCGGACTTGTAGACTTTCATCGCACGGGACTCACCGACCAAAGCTCGAGTGAAGATGAGTTTGGCCCCTCGCGTCTCTACGATGCTGTTGTGTGTCTAATAAGAGCTCATCATGAGGATGAGGATGTTTTCCCACAATGGGTGTGACACGCCTGCTCAGTCCGAAAGGCACATCCTCCACCGCGGCACCGCTCCACCACACACATACGGGAACACGGTATGGTGCTTGTCTCAAGTGTGCTTCGCAGGCATTGGGACTGATTTATCGGAAAACCCATGGCCTTCCGTGTTCTCTCGAGTAGCCTGCAGCCGCGGTAGCCACAATCGGTGGTGAATGATTAAATCAAAACGAACATATTCAACACTCGTATGTGCCTCTAAATTCCTTCTTATATTGTTTGCTATAGATGTTCATGAATCTCTGACCAGCAACGAGCCCGAGCGCCTCGTGAGGTGCGCCCACTCTCGTTTAATTTTCCGGACGTGGTTTAGCTGCGCGAGGAGGATTGCGCTGCCATGGCGTCTGTCATTCACTACCGGTTCAAGACCGCAACGGAGACGAACTCGCTGCGCTTTGACGGGCAGAGTCTGCGGGTGTTTGACATCAAGGTGGGGAAGCGGGGAAGACAAATGGTGGCTGGAACGAATATCTTATCTCTCTGGAGGACAGATGCCTGTTGTCACCGCCTTCCCACCAAGTGTAATCCTCCTGCATGTTCTCACCACGACTGTCTGCCCTCCCCATGCACCGTGTAGGCGGCCATTGTAGCAGAGAAACGTCTGGATAAGGGCCTCGACTTTGATTTGGAGCTTTCGAACCCGCAAACAAAAGAAGGTGCGTCCTGGGGGGCGAAGAGGGGTCGATTGGGAGCACGCGTGTCGGATGGGGTCGAACGCATGCCGCCCATCAATTGTATCAGCAGCACTGACCGCCGTCGTCCTTTCTGCTCCTGTTCCTTCTTCCTTTTCGCAGTGTACGTGGATGAGACCAAGATGATTGCCAAGAACAGCACCGTCCTTGTCAAGCGCGTGGCGGCCCCCAGGGGCTCTGCGGGCTTGCTGGCGCGGCTGAGAGCGAACACGCCTTTGACCCCGCAGAATATGTACGTATGGAGGACAGAGACCAAGAAGGTTCGGACCATGTCGGTCACTTGTTGTTAATGAGGGGTGTAGAAGGGGGGCATCGGGGTGTGAGGGTAGAGTGCGATGCGCTCGCACCTGTTTGTTGTATTCTAGCGCGGGTTTGGAGAAAGTACCGACCACGGTCGAATAAGAGGAAAGGTGAGAATGGAAAGAAAGCGTCTTGTGCGACGTGGTCCCCGGAGAGGGTGGAAAAGACAAGGAATGCACTACTTGCCTAGCCGCGTTTTGCCGTGTCCCCCTCCTCTCCCCCACTTGCGGGCCTCCGGGTTTCTGCTCGCCTGCCCCCGCCTTCCCTCCACCCTTGCTCCCCTTGTCTTCTGCATGCACCCTTCCTTTTCCTTGTGAGCCCGCGGGCGCAGGGAAGGAGGGAGCGGGCTAGGGAAGAGAGGGAGACAGGTCCCAGGGAACTCTGACTCGGAACTTCTCGTTCGAAGGCGGGCGGGTCCATGTCTGCTAGGACTGCTATGTTTCCCGGGTCCTCCCGCCTGTGTGCGTGTGACGGCCCTCTCATCCCTTCTTGGTCGTGGACCGGGGGCATGCTCTGTGATCTCTGTCTCGCTGTGGCCTTCCCGTCCCCGGCCCATATGCAGGGGGCCTTCCGATCGGGGAGTGCCCCTTGTTAAGGTGACTTCAGGCGACGCGGGGAAGAGCCGTGTCGAGTTCTGGAGTGAGAGCTGTGATACCGTGGTGATCGCGGCGGGATGAAAGATGGAAAGAGAGAAAGAGAGGGCAAGAGAATGGAGATGAGGGGGAGGCAGCGAGAGGGGATCCAGCTGCGGGTTCCCCCCCTGTCCTTTCTGAGTGAAAAGAAACAAGCGGAAAGAGCGCTGTCGGGCCCTCCTCGGCCCTTACAGGGCAGGGGAGGAGGCCTCTCCCCTCGACTTCGCCCCCCCTGCGCATGCGCAGTACCCCCTCCGCGACACTCACCCTCTCTCACCCGTTCTTCGAACGCTTTTT